GGTACATGCCCTTGACTGGGAATTGAACCTGTGACCCTCCGAGGACCAACACTCTAACTGCCGAGCCAAAGCAGCCAGGACCTGTCCACTTCTTAGTATCTCAGTCCTACTCAGCTACTCTACAGACTCCCCTCCCCCAACCTAAAATGGGCAATATACTTTCATGGCTCTGAGTCTTGGTTCTGACTATTCTCACAGCCTGGGATTCCCTTCCTGTTTTTTGTGAACTACCATTCTGGACCTTTCTCACATGTATTTCTCTGTGACTTCCTCTAGCAACCAACTCTCTCACTCCAACACTCAGTCCGAATTAGTCATTTCTTTTATTTTAATTGATTTTTTTAATTTTTAATTTTTTTTTCTTTATTGATTTTTTAGGGAGAAGGAGAGAGAGAGAGAACATCAGTTGGCAAGAGAACATGCATGCCCCCCACTGGGGATTGAGCCCACAACTTGGACATGTGCCCTGACTGGGAATTGAACCTATGACCTCTTGGTGCATCAGTTGATGTTCAACCACTGTGCCACGCCGGTTGGGCTGAATTTTTTTTTTTTTAGAGAGAGAGGAAGGTGGAGAGAGATAGAAACATCAATGTGAGAGAGAGATACATTGATCAGCTGCCTCCTGCACGCCCACCGCTGGGGATGGAGCCTGCAACCCAGGCATGTGCCCTGACTGGGAATCAAACTGGGACTTCTCAATGCATAGGACAACTCTCAATCCACTGAGATAGAAACATCGATGAGCCCTGACCAGTTTTGCTCAGTGGTTAGAGCATCGGCCCGTGGACCAAAAATTCGCAGGTTCGATTCTGGTCAAGGGCACGTACCTGTGTTGCAGTTCGATCCCTGGCCCTGGTCAGGGTTGTATGAGAGGCAACCAGTCAATGTGTCTCTCTCACGTTGATGTTTCTTTCTCTCTCTCTCCCTCCCTCCCTCCCCATCTGAAGATAAATGGGAAAAAAATCCTTGGGTGAGGATTAACAACAACAAAAAAGAAACGTTGATGAGACAGAACATCAATTGGCTGCCACCTGTGTGCCCCCCACTGGGGATCAGGCCCACAACCTGGGCATTTGCCTGGACTAGGAATCAAACCGGCAATCTCTTGGTGCATGGGTCGACGCTCAACCACTGAGCCACACCGGCTGGGCATAATCAGTCATTTCTTAATCTGTTTTTCCATGCTCCTTTATTTATACCTCTGTAGCACTCATCACGTTGTATTAGTTATTTGTTGTCTGTCTTCCTAGCTAAACAGAGACATGTCTTTTCACCTTTTGTATCCCCAGCTTCTGGCACAGTACTGGCATATAGTAAGGCCCTCAATACCTTGAGTAGAAGTAAACTGAATAGAAGTGTGGCAGAGTGAGCCAGATCAGGAAAGATCTTAAATGCGAGGGTAAGGAGTTAAAACTTGACCCTGAGGTTGATGAGGAGCCATGGAAGATTTTTAAGCAGGGTGTAACATGATGTAGATTCTTCCAGCGTCAAGTGCTCTTGGCAATAGCAGAAGGGGCATTAGGTGCCTTGTTTCTGTGATGTGTGAGGCTGGGAGTCTGACTCTCTCTGACCATACTAACCTTACCCTCCTCTGAACATCAGCTGTTCTTGATGTTTGTCCCTTTGTTCTCACTAACTTTATACTACTTGGCTTCCAGTTTCACTGTGTCATGGGTTTGTCTCATCTCCCTGATGAGAAAAGAAGCCTCCTGCTTCTGTGTGCACATTGTGTGTGGTGTTTCCCCCACTGCATACCCGCCTCCTCCTCCCTGACATGGAATGAAGCATGTAGTGGGTATTTCAGTAAGTGCTTGTTCACTTGAAATTGAATAGGACTCTCTGGGGATATAAAATTTAGCACAACTAAAAAAAAAAAAAAAAAAGGTACAGCTAATCCCTAGAGTGAATCATCTACATGTGGTCCAGTGGAAATGAGGGGTGAGTCTACATAGTTCAGATGTGTGGATTGTTCACCAAAACATTATCTCATTTAGAAATTTCCTGCTACTAGGTTGTCTAGTCAAGAATAGAGATGAAATAAGAGCTAAAAACTGACCGGCTTAACCATTCAAACTATGCTGCACTGAGTTACAGAGAGGATGAATGAATAGAGCATTCCAAAATAGCTCCTGTTAGAATATTTCATCCTGGCTAAGTGGCAATTGACCCCTCTCAAGCAGATGTTTTAGTCTTTTCTAGTTCTCTAGTATCAAGTCCTGGCCGTGGTACTGAGCTTGGATATTAGACTAACCCAGGATCAATTAGTAGCACACACAAGAACGCTTTGGTGTAAAACCATACTCTGTGAGCCAGTGATACGTTCTTTCTAGCATGATGATATGAGCTAGAGAAGGCAGAATTTCATAAGAGCCATGAACTTCTTTACCTCTCAGAGCTAAGCTTAATATGCCAGAAGAAGGAAGTGGGGCAGCTACCATGAATTGTTTCTGTTGGCAGAAAAGCAAGAAATTGGAATGGTTTCCTCCATAGGCATACAGTTAACAATCAGGTTCCCTTGTGAGCACCCCTTAGAATAGGAACTGGCATGGATTTTTGTGTATGTGGCACTTTAGCCAATGGCAAGCATCATAGACCTGAATGCTGGGAGTTTTTTTTTTTCTTTTTAAATCCTCACCTGAGGATATTTTTCTATTTATCTTCAGATAGAGTTGGGGGAGGGAGAGAGAGAGAAACATCGATGTGAGAGAGACACATCGACTGGTTGCCTCCCACACGACCCTGGCCAGGGCTGGGGATGAAGCGCAACCAAGGTACATGTCCTTGACCGGAATCGAACACTTGACTCGGTCCGAGGCTGACGCTCTAACTGCTGAGCCAGACGGGCCAGGGCTGAATGCTGGAAGTTTAAGTACACAGTTTGATGAGTTTCCACAAATGTATATCTACCCATGTATCTACCCAATCATCACTTCAAACAACATATAGAACATTTCTATCACCCTAGAATCACACCTCTCATGTTTGTTTATAGTTAGCTCCCACCCAACCCAACCCAGGCAACCTCTTACTGGATTTCTCTCACTATAGATTCCTGTTCTAGAATTTTATATAAATGGAATCATACAGACATAGTCTTGTATCTGTGCCGGCCAGTTTTCCCCAGCAGTTTATTGAGTCTCTGCCTCACTGCCAATTCGTCCTACCCTACTGCCCCTCCTCCTCCCCATACACTCCTGTGCCTTTCTTTTTTTTTTTTTATCCTCACCTGAGGACATTTTTCCATTTTTTGTTCAGGTAGAGTGGGAGGGAGAGAGAGGAACAGAGAGAGAGAGAAACACCGATGTGAAAGGAACACATCGAGTGGCTGCCACCTGCACAACCGACCAGGCCTGGGGACAAACTGCAACCGAGGTACGCGCCCTTAGCGGGAACCGAACCCGGGTCTCTCAGGACCGCAGGCCGACGCTCTAACCGCTGAGCCAAACCAGCCAGGGCTCCTGTGCCTTTCTTAATTTCCCCATGTGTCAGTTGAATTTTTCACCAACTCTAGGAAGATAACATTCCCCAGCCCAGTTACTGCATTAACTTGAACTTCCTCCATCTTCAGATATTTCTAAATAAAAATGGTTTGGAACACAAAAGGGAAAGCAAATTAAATGCTATTTCCCCCCATTTATGCTTGTGGAGGAGTCCTAATGACTCTAGGTTATTCCCTCACTGCCACATGGGGCCTCATTGAGATAATAGGATTTGCAGGGAAAGTATCTGGGAGAGCTAAGGCTGTGCACTCCCTCCCCCCACCCATTAAGTGAGGACTGAGGTTTCCTCTGTAAATCCTGAATGCATTACTGGCAACTGGGTTGAGGGTCAAATGTCAAATACTCTGCAGTGATGGGAGAGGACATCTGTGGCTAATTAGCGCACTAATTGGCAAGCTGGGAATGGGGAAGCACAGGACTTGCCCTCTCAGTTCTGCACCAATGGGAAGCCAACTCCCTGTCCAAGCTGCAGATCCCTGAAGGGGGATGAAAGACAATGAGAAAGTGTGTTTGTATGAGAGCAGAGCATCCTACCCCATCTCCCTAGGTCACCATAAGACAGGACACAGCTTTAGGAACTGGCCTTACTTTAATCAGGAGAGTAAGAGTGAGCCAGTGGCCAGAGGTCTACCTCTTCTGCTCACTTTAAATTTAATCCTTTACTTTGGAGATGAATTATACACCCAGCTAAGCTGATTTCTCTCTCTCCCCCACCCCCCATATATATATGTGTGTGTGTGTGTGTGTATATATATATAATATATATGTATATATATATTTTTTTTTTTTTGAGAGAGAGAGAAACATCAATTTGTTGTTCCACTTATTTTTGCATTCATTGGTTGATTCTTATGTGCCCTGACCGGGGATCGAGTCCACAACCGTGGCATATTGGGATGACACTTTAACCAACTGAGCCACTCAGCCAGGGCCTAAACTGATTTCTTGAGTGACCCACATTTTGTATGAAGGTGTTCAAAGGCCTCAATACTCATGTAGATTGGGCAACATTTATCCATTGATCCATTTATCATTGCATTTGATAAATATTTATAGTACCTGCTATATGCACATCATGGGCCAAGCACCATGGAGCCCCCAAAGATCAGTTAGATGATCTTTGCTTACAAAGATCAATGCTGTGGTCTTGCCCAGGTTGTAGTCTAGCAGGTTTGTGAGGTCCATAAGCATTAAGTACAAATGAGGGAAGCTGTGAGATGGCCAAAAGATGGATGTACCAGGGATTCTAAGATGGGAAAGAACATTTATGATCTAGAGTCATGGAAAGTTTCATGGAGGAGGTACCTTTTGAACTGGACCGTGTCAGGTGGGGGAGAATTTCAGTAGGTGGATGAGGTTGGGAAAAGGAGCAGAAATAAAGACAAGGGGGGAATCCATGGACGTTTTTGGTGAGATGGTGGCATCCATACTGTAGCATATTGTCTCTCTGAGGCAGGTGGCCTCCAAGCTGAGAACCTCTTTCCCCTTGCTTTGCAGATCAATGAGTTGAGCAATGTCCCTGTCCCTGTCATGCTAATGCCAGATGACTTCAAAGCATACAGCAAGATCAAGGTGGACAATCATCTCTTCAATAAGTAAGTTGCCTATTGAGTGGGCTCAGGTTTTGTGGGCAGGTTTCCCTCAAGGCATAGAGCTGAAACCCTGTGTAAGGTGGGGCCAAACCAGCACCTGGCAGGGTGTGACAGCGACACCTGGATCACAGAGCTGAAAAACTGGCTGGAAAAATGCATTCATTATGGACCTCTCTCCCAGCTGTCTTGTCCTCTCACTCCTTTATCAGCCTACCTCCAGGGTCCCTCAGGGCATGTGGCTGGGCTTAGGATGGTTCATATAGAGCTAGTTTAGGAAGAAGTGAGCTGCTCAGGAGCTGACATATCTGAGATGAGGCTGACAGCAGTGGCCCTATCTCGATCTTAGTCTGAGGCAAGAACCTGCCAGCCATGATTCTGGCCTCGGCTGCAGCCCAGCTCTCTTCTCTCCAGCTGGTGTGTGAACAACAGGCTGAGCATGGTGCTTGAGGGCACTATCCAAAGTAATTCTTCCCACTTTTGCTTATTGTGGCTTCTTGGATTAACACTCGGGTCTGAAGTTTGTCTCAGGTTTTGTTGAAGCAGCCATCTCACCTGGCAGAGTTTGGGGCTTGCTCTAAGCCCTTTGGAGGCCTTGCTTTTATCTTAACGTGGGTCACCCTAGAAACTGCTGCCCACACTCTCTTTCTTTCTGCATTTGAATCCTGGTTCCACTCTCCATTGTTCCATAGTCCTCACCACCCCACCAGCTGGGCTCTGTCACCCCACCAGTCTCGATTGTTAGGTGGGAGGAGAAGTTGATTTGTTTGTTTTAATCCTCACCTGAGGACATTTTTGCATTTATCTTCAGATAGAGCAGGAGGGAGAGAGGGAGGAGGAGGGAGAGAGAGAGAGAAACATCCATGTGAGAGAGACACACTGAGTGGCTGCCACCCATAGGACCCCAACCGGGGCCGGGGGAAAAGTGCAACCGAGGTACGTGCCCTTAGCAGGAACCAAACCCGGGACTCTGGTCCACAGGCTGACGCTGTAACCACTGAGCCAAACCGGCCAGGGCTGATTTGAAAATGTCCCTTAGTGACCTCTCTCTGCTCTAGTAATAAAATCTTCTTCTAGAAGCTGTCTTCATATCTGCTGATTGCTAAGTGGCCACCTGTATAGAAGACAAATTCTCCTGTGTTTCTTTCTCCTCTACTCTCACATCACTGCAATTGTGTAGGACACCAGGTAGATGTCCTGCAATTCATGTCTCACGGATTAAGGACTCAGTCCCACAAAACTACTCCCTCCCCACCCCCCTTCATATGCCAGTCACAAGTCCAGGTTGTCACCTGTGCCTCTGACTGACCTCTGTAGATCTGAGGTTCCCAGGACCCTCCCCCTTGGAGTCAACTAATTTGTTTCACTGGCTCACAGAACTCAGGAAAACAGTTTACTTACTAGATTATTGGTTTATTATAAAAGATAACAACTCAAGAATAGCCAAATGAAAGAGATGCAGAGGGCAAGGCACAGGGACGGGGGCAGAGTGTCCCTGCCTTCTTCACGTGCACCCCTCTCCTGGCACCTCCACGTGCTTACCAACCTGGGAGCTCCCAAACCCAGTCCTTTCAGGGTTCTTATGGAGGCTTCATTATGAAAACTTCATTAATTAAATGATTGGCCATTGGTGACTGATTCAGCTTCCAGCCCCTCTCCCCTCCTCGAAGGTCAGTGGGGTGGGACTGACAGTTCCAACTTTGTAGTACTGGTTGATTTCCCCTGGCAACCAGCACTCATCCATAGAGGCTTTCCAGAAGTCACTGCACTAACAGAAACTCAGGTGTGGTTTGAAAGGGGCTGGTTATGAATAACCAAAAGATACCTGTATTGCCCTGGCCAGTTTGGCTCAGCGGTTAAAGCGTCGGCCTGCGGTCCGGAGAGACCCGGGTTCGGTTCCCGCTAAGGGCACGTACTTCGGTTGCAGTTTGTCCCCGGCCCTGGTTGGTCGTGCGGGTGGCAGCCACTCGATGTGTCCCTTCACGTCGATGTTTCTCTCTCTCTCTCCCTTCCTCTCTCTCCCTCCCATTCTACCTGAACAAAAAATGGAAAAATATCCTCGGGTGAGGATAAAAAAAAAAAAAAAAGATACCTGTATTGCTCTTATCACTTAGGAAATTCCAAGGGTTTGAGGAGCTCTGTGCCAGAAACAGGAACGAAAGCAATACATTTTTCTTATTACCTCCCAGTATTACACCACCTGAGGATGGAGAGGCAACCCTCAGCTCGGAGGCAAGAAAGGCGGTGGTTCAGTTCCAGGGGTCAGGGCTCTGGATGTGGGCTCTGTACCACTGCTTATTTGAGTTTCCATGACCTCTGGTGAAGTTCCATCACCTTGACATCTTGGCCTAAAGCAGAGCATCTAATCTCTTATTTTCTTTTATCTCTCCTCATTCCTTTTGTCCTTTCTTTTTTTTTAATCCTCACCCAAGGACATTTTTCCATTTTTTGTTCAGGTAGAGTGGGAGGGAGAGAGAGAGAGAGAAACATCGATGTGAAAGGGACACATCGAGTGGCTGCCACCCGCATGACCGACCAGGGCTGGGGACAAACTGCAACCGAGGTACGCGCCCTTAGCAGGATCCGAACTCAGGTCTCTCTGGACCGCAGGCTTACTCTCTCACCGCTGAGCAAAACCGGCCAGGGCTCCTTTTGTCCTTTCAATGCCTGTTTATGTGCTTCTTATTAAACTACAATACTATTTTCTAAAAGACAGGAGTATAAGAAGGCAGACTAATCTGATTTCATGAGAAGCCTCTTTTTTATTTATTTATTTATTTTTAAGTTTTCCAATAAGATTTTATTTACAAAAATGATGGTTGGCCAGATTTGACCCATGGAAGCCGCGGCTTTTTGTTGTTGTTAATCCTCACTCGAGGATATTTCTCCATTGATTTTTAGAGAGAGGAGAAGGGAAAGAGGGAGGGAGAGAGACAGACACACACATTGATGTGAGAGAGATACATCGATTAATTGCCTCCCACACATGCCCTGACCAGGCTGGGGATCAAACCTACAGCCCAGGTACATGCTCTTGACCAGGAATCGAACCTGAGACCTTCAGTGCACAGGCTGACGCTCTAACCTCTGAGCCACACTGGCCAGGGCAAGCTACTGCATTTTATTTCCTTGAGGTCTATCATCCTGGAGGAGTCAGAGGGACATATTTCTAAAAGGGAGTTTCCAAACAGGGTGACTACTGTCAACATGGAAGATTTGGAGGAGGCATCACTTCAAGGATTCTCTCCTCTCCTGGGAGCCTGTGGATTTTTTTTTTTTTAATCCTCACCCGAGGACATTTTCTGATATGTTGTTAAGATAGAGTGGGAAGGAGAGAGAGAGAGAAACCTCAACGTGAAAGGGACACATTGAGTGGTTGCCACCCACACGACCCAGTCAGGGCTGGGGACAAACTGCAACAAGGTACGTGCCCTTAGCGGGAGCCGAACCCGGATCTCTCCTAGACTGCAGGCCAACGCTCTAACCGCTGAGCCAAACCGGCCGGGGCAGCCTGTGGATTTTGATTGATGGAGAGAGGGAAGGGTGGAGATTGGTGCCAGCAAACAAGGCCCCATGATAAGATGGGGTCCCAGTCCACTGACTGAGCATCTCTGATTTAAAGTGCCCTCCTTCTCCATCCCAGTGGAAGCCAAGGGAAGGGCTTCCTGGACGCAGCCAGGAAGGATATTTTGATAGGAACATCCCTAGGGGAGAGGGTCCCTTTGATGAAAAAGGCCTTTCCCTTTAGCAGTCAGACTGACATGCACTTGGCAGCAGCTGAACCAGCTGTAGTAAGGACAGTGCTTGTGTAGTGAGGCTTGCACTCAGTCTCACTTCCTGGCAGGTAAGGTTTTTTCTTTAATCTAAATCTTGTTGAAAGGTAAATAACATACACTCAGAAAAAGTACACAAATTTTAAGTATACTGCTAGATTAATTTTTACAAAGTAAACACAAGGGATGTAAAGTTTTTAAACTTACATGCTCAGAATCACCTGGAGTTTTTCTTAAAAATGAAGCTTTCCAGCCCTGGCCAGTGTGGCTCAGTTGGTTGGAGTTTTGTCCCGTGCATCGAAAGGTCTTGGGTTCAATTCTTGGTCAGGGTATATGCCCAGGTTGTGGTTTTGTTCTGGGTTTGTTCCCCGGTCGTAGTGTATATGGGAGGCAACCAGTTGATGCTTCTCTCTCACATCAGCATTTCTCTCTTCTCTCACCCTCTTCCTCTCTCTCTAAAATCAGTGAGGACACATCCTCAGGTGAGGATTAAATATTTTTTTAAAAGAAAAAACTTTCTAGACTCACCTCTAGAATTTCTGGGGCCTAGAAACTTACATTTTAAGCACTGCAGATTATTTAAATGCCGGTGGTCTGTGGCCCACACTGTGAGAGTTCTGATGTGCAAATAAGATGAGCAAGATGTTCACAAAGACCTGTTTCTGCTTCCCCCTAGGGAAAACCTCCCCAGCCGCTTCAAGTTTAAGGAGTACTGCCCCATGGTGTTTCGAAATCTTCGGGAAAGATTTGGGATTGATGATCAGGATTACCAGGTACAGGTGTTTTTGCAAAATCAGAGGGATTAGCAAGTGGAGTGGGGTCAGGAAGTCACAGGACAAGTAGAGAAAAAAGCGTCTGCTATTCTTGTGCTGTGTTTTCCTGTCATGGTCCTTCCCCACCCGGGCAGTCTTTCCTTCAGTGTTGGTGGCCTCTTGCCGGGCTGAGGGCCTTAGAAGTGCTTCTCAGGCTCCTCTCCCTGGGAGGGGAGCAGTGGGAGGGAGAGGAGCCTGTGGAAGCTGCTTCATTTTAGTCTGATATTCCCAGTCTAGGCTGAAGAAGCCTTCTCCGTAGTTTGACGTAAAAGAGAGAGAATTGTTGCCAGCAGAAAATGAGGCCTCTTAAAGCAGATAAGACAGGTTAGAAAAGGAAGACTTCAAGGGTAGTGTGACTTCTTGCCAGGTATGAGTTCCACCTCTTAACCTTGTCCCCTGTCCTGATGCTGGGAGGGGGCAAGGCATGGCAGAAAACGGCCCCCTTCAGGGGGTGATAATGTCATAGAGGACTTTGTCCTGCTGGGAGGAATGAATTTTAATATCAGGGACATTTTAGTCTGACTTATATTATGTCTATGGTTTCTGTTACTTCTCCACCTAGCATCTTCCCTGAGCCTTCTTCCCTTGGCAGGCAGCTTGGGGGTAAAAGTGGGAGAACCTTCCACTTCACTTTTGTAGCAGTAAGAAATATAGCTGACTTTCCATTGTCTGTGGGGAAAAAGGAGGGTCCAGCCTAGTGAAATCTATAATGGATGCCCTGTCTTTTAAAACACTGTACTTCCTCCACCGCACTCCCAGTAAGCCTTTCCCAGAGTAGTTCATGACGAGCAGACGGGGTGAGTCCCCTCTCCTCTCTCCTCCACTCTGAAGGCCTCCTGCGAAGCTGTGTATCCTGAAGAGCAGGGTGAGAGGATGTGACGGGAGATGTCAGGGACTTGGCGAGCGGAGTGTCTGTCTAAGGGTACTTGGGAGGTCCCTCCAGCCTCCTCTGTTAGGACCAAATCCTAAATGAAATCATGACCTGATTGGAGCCTGAGACTTTCTGAAAACTTCTTGCCATTGTTGCAACCCCAGGTAACCTACTGGGACTTCTTCCTTCCATTGTGGCTCCTTCCCTCCCCCTTGGCCATCCAACCACATCCTCTCTGTGTCTGTATTTTCCTCTGATAGCCTTGTGGGAAATGATGTGCTCAAGACTGAACTTGGGGCAGGGAAGGTGGTGTTCAGGGAAGGGACTCTGTACCTTTGGACTACTAACCTCAGTCAGAAGATGCTGCCTAAAAACAAGGCAGGGAGAGACCTAGACTTCCCACTGGGCTTGAGGCCTCCATATCTTCCTGGAAGGAGGACCAGGCTGGGACAGCGAGGCCCTCAGTCATGTAGCCTACTCAGCATTTCTGGATTGGGGACACCCTGTTTTGGGGGGTGCTCCTTTAGTTTAGAGAGCCCCTCACCACTTCAGACTTCAGTTTTCCCCATGAAGGTGGTGCTTCCTTCTCATGAGGAGGCATTAGGTGAAGGTAAAGAGTCAGGTCCTAGGTAAGAGATGAGGAGAGGCCCTGGCCGGTGTGGCTCAGTTGGCTGGGTGTTGTCTCGTTGCTAGTTTGATTCCTGATGCCTGGGTTATGGGCTCAGTCCCTGGTATGGGGCCTGCAGAAGGCCTCAGATCGATGTTTTGTTCTCATATCGATGTTTCTCTCCCTTTCCCCTCTCTCTAAAAATCAATTTTAAAAAACGAGAGGAAAGGGTTTAGAGCAGAGACATTTCTGTGAGCAGATCACTGCATGTTTTCCTGGGAACGGGGACAGCTGGGATGTCCCTCCCTGCCTTGCCTCCCAAACGTCTTCTGGTGTCTGCTTGGTGAACACATCCCTTTGGTTGACTAACCTTCCCCTACCCCTCTTCCTGAGGCTTCTACAGCTCTCTGATTCTAATCGGAATGGGGCCCCGAGGGGGAGCAGGAGCAGAACCAGAAAAGCCCCCACAGTCCTGCACAGATAAGCAGGAGTTTGAGGTTAAGGGAGAGGTGTTGGGCAGAGAGGTGAGGACCAACTTCCTGCTTTGAGAAGGGTTTTCTTTTTTTTTTAATCCTCACCCGAGGACATTTTTTTGTTCAGATAGAGTAGGAGGGAGAGAGAGGAAGAGGGGAAGAGGGAGAGAGAGGGAGAGAGAGAGAGAGAGAGAGAGAGAGAGAGAGAGAGAGAGAGAGAGAGAAAGAAACAGAGAGAGAAACATTGATGTGAAAGGGACACATCGAGTGGCTGCCACCCGCACGACCAACCAGGGCCGGGGACCTGCAACCGAGGTATGTGCTCTTAGCGGAAACCGAACCCGGGTCTCTCTGGACCACAGGTGGACGCTCTAACCGCTGAGCCAAACCAGCCAGGGCTGGGAAGGGTTTTCTAGCATCAGGGTACATACAGGGAAAAGAGACGACTGTCCATTGCTTATTTATGGTAGACTTCTTGAATATTTCCTAAGCGTTGTTTTTGTAACCCCAAGAGATCAGGAAAATCACCTCGGTCTGCCTCCTTGTGTTCCAGGTGAGGAAACTCAGGAGTAGAGAAGTTAAATGGCTCACCCAAGGGTCATATCACATGTGAGTGGCAGGATTAGAACCCAGTTCCCTGACATCTGAGGTAGCTGTCTGGGATCGGAATGAAAGGCATTATTTCACGGTAAATCCTCTTCCCATCCAACCAAGGACTGAAAACAGCTCTTGTCACTCTTAAGGAAGACTTTTGGGAGAGAGATGAACTTCCCATGAGAAAAGGGGTGGGTAAGGTCCCATCTGTCTAAAGCCGTTGGCTTTAGAGCAATCTGGCCCATAAGTCAGAGTCCTGTTCCCCTCCCAACACCAGCTCACTTTGTCTTGGTCCATCAGAATTCAGTGACACGCAGCGCCCCTATCAATAGTGACAGCCAGGGCCGATGTGGCACACGTTTCCTCACCACCTACGACCGGCGCTTTGTCATCAAGACTGTGTCAAGTGAGGATGTGGCTGAGATGCACAACATCTTAAAGAAGTACCACCAGGTACGGTGAGTCCCGAGCCTGGATAGGAGCGGGTAGGTTGGAGGAGGGAGAGGAGAGCCGCTGGGGGAGCTTCCTGAAGAGAGATTGGTCCTCTGGTGATGGCAGATGCCTCCTGATAACCAAGCACTTGGCCCTGCCCTGGTACCATGATTCTGGGAGGAGAAATGCCTATTTGAAAAAATGTAAAAGGAGAAACGAAGGCATGTTACTGACTCTGTCCTAGTTGAACAGCTGTTTCTTGCCAGAATTGGGAAGTTTTCACACTCTGGCACCTGCCTCATTTCTTCTAAAAGAGATCCTGTCGGCTCGGCAGGGTTGCTTTTCTTCCCATTCCTCTCCCCACTCGTCTGGAACCTGTCCATGAGGAAAGCAGGGTGCAGTGGCATTATCTGAGTGCTTGTCCCAAGCCTGCCTGGGTCTTCCAGGAAAGCTGGTGCTCTCGGGCACGGAGAAGCGGAGAAAGGGACTTCTGGTCCCTGGGGAATCACAGCTGCAAACCCTGGGCATGGCGTGGGCGAGCGCTGTGGTCTGGAGCCCCTCTGCTTTCCCAGACAGCCAGATCACACCCTGCCTCTGCTGCCCTCGCTGGGCCCCCACTCCAGGCCTCGATTAGTGATTTTCCTGCGATGGAACCCCAAAAACATGAACTCAGGGCTCTGCGCTCAGCCTCTCACTCTGTTATGCCAGTTGGGGGTGGGGGTGGCTGTTGCCTATTGTAAGTCTGATGAACCCCGTGACTTCACATAACCCAATTTAGAATCCCAGGCAGGGAGCGTTGTAGCCTGGGGAGAGCCCTATCCATCCTGGCACCTTCACGTGTTCCTTAGCCTTCCTCCCTTCCTTTCTAGTTCATAGTGGAGTGTCACGGCAACACCCTTTTGCCACAGTTCCTGGGCATGTACCGCCTGACTGTGGATGGTGTGGAAACCTATATGGTGGTCACCAGGAACGTGTTCAGCCATCGACTCACTGTACACCGCAAGTATGACCTCAAGGTAAAGGCCTCTGTGTTTCCCAGCTCTGTGGCTGCTCTCTCCCGGAGGCTCGGGGCCACGACTCTAGCTACCACATAGTGGGAAAGCCAGAACATATGTTTGGCGTGGACAGGTGGCTCTGGAGTTGATATGTCTCATTCTTGTGGGCCAAAGGCTGTTTGAAGTCCAGGTGACAGTGACAGGAGGTTATTTAAGCCCCCCGTGTGCCACATTTATGTAACAGTTGATGTTCTGTAACTCCTGTCAGTGGGATGTGCACAGTAAGGTCAGCAGTATGGGACAGGCTGTTCTGACGCACACACTCTGGCATCCGTCCAGGCCCCATGGACTGACAGCACAAGTGCGTTTCTAGACACCGAAAAGAACACACTTGTGCCTGTGAACCCAGTGCTCCGCTGTTCTTAACCCTCACTTGCTGACTTCACCAGTCACCTCACACCACTGTCCCTCTCTTTGCTGCAGCTGCACTGGTTTGCTGTGCATTCCTGCGGTGTCTGTGCTCTCCTCCTCCCCAAGACCTCACACAGGCTGCCTGGGATTATTTCCCTCCCTGCCCTTTCTTTTACCACCTCCTCCCCCACCTGACTACTTCCTACTTACCCTTCTGAGCTCAGCCCAGGTATCACTTGTTCCCGGAAGCAGGCCTCGGCCACTGCCCCTCTCCAGTCCAGGCCTCTCCCTGTGCTTCTGGCACTCAGAGCATCCTGTCTCCTCTCCTGTACCACTCGGCACCATTGTGGTTAGTGGATTAATTACTTGTGTAACTACTGCTTAATGCCTGTCCCCCGTTAGAAGGAAAGTTTTCTAAGGGCAGGCACGGAGTCTCTTGGTACAGTCCTGTTTCCTGAGCATGTAACTTGTACACAGTCCAAGCTCTGCAAACGGTCTGTCAGAGGAAGTGAGCAAGTTGCCCCCTCGGATTCTAACCAGCCGCTTCAGTTCACCTGCTGCCTCTCCCCAAAGGCTGGCGCATGTTTTCTCGCTGAAGGGGATTTGCCTCAGCTGGACTTCTCCTGATGGCTCTTATCCTTTCAGGGTTCTACTGTTGCCAGAGAAGCGAGTGACAAGGAGAAGGTATGCCGGGACTGGTGCTGATCAAGTGTGGAGTGGGTCACTTGGAATGCGAAGCACTACTGGCCATCCTGTCCCTTCCTCCACCACAGCCCCTAGTCCACTTCCCAGACATGCAGTCTGTCAGTGCTTTCTGTCACTGAGCACTGGCCTAGCCTCGGCCTTGGTCTCCAGCCTTTTACATCTGCCCTGGAGGGCTGACAGTATCCATATCATGGTCCAGCCTGAATCAGTGGGCGGCTGCCTGAGCCCTGAGGTGATCCAGGCTCCGCGGGAAGGCATGCTGTGGTCAGTCCTCATTGTCTGACAGATGCCGTACATTTGCCATCCCTGTCTGCCCCAAGCCTGGGATGGTAGCCTCCTGTGCTGAGCTGTTGATTTGGCAGGTTGACTCTGTACTCTAAAGATCCTTCCTTTTTCTGTGCTGTTGCCACCGGCAAAAGTCCTGGGAGTGGATGAATCAGGCTGCCCAGCTAACACTCTATTGTTCTCCCAGGCCAAGGACTTGCCAACGTTTAAAGACAATGACTTCCTCAATGAAGGGCAGAAGCTGCATGTGGGAGAGGAGAGTAAAAAGAACTTCCTGGAAAAACTGAAGCGGGATGTAGAGGTACTTTTTAACCTCATTTTCATCTTGGTTGAGCAGAGCCCCTCTTGGCACCAGAGCAGGAGCCACTTTAAGAAAAATTGAATTCACTACTTTCCAAGAGTCTAGAGCAGAGAAAGAGGGATGATCTGAGCGGTGCGGGTAGCTACTTGCACCTAAAGCTACTGCAAATGAACGTTCCATGTGGACATCATTTGTGTCAGTAGAACCGTGGTAACTTTGTCTGGAATGCTTTTCCTCATCTGCTCCAACACCTTTTTCAAACAGCCCTTCAGAATTCCTTTCTGGTGGTTCCCGTAGTGGAGAGGCATCTGGCCACAGAGTGACAGGAAACCAGCTAGTGAGATCCACCAACCATGCCTTTTTTTCTTTTTAAACTATATGATTTACGTTAACATGAAATTGGTTGGTTGGTTTATTTATTTATTTATGGTACGTGCCCCTAGCGGGAACTGAACCCAGAACTCTCTGGTCTGCAGGCCGACACTCCAACCGCTGAGCCAAACTGGCCAGGGTGCAACTATGCCTTTTACTGGCTCTGATTCTCCATTTACCCCGTAACCTTCTGATGAGAACGGGACTTCCTGTAGAGACGGGACTTCCTGTAGAGAAGCTCCTCTTCCGAGGACAGGTGTTAAATATAAATGTGATATTTTATTTTTTTACTATGGTAAAATATGCATAACAGAATTTATCATCTTAACCATTTTTTATTGTTGATATTTTTCTATTTATCTTCAGATAGAGTGGGAGGAAGGGAGAGGGAGGGAGAGAGAGAAACATCAACGTGAGAGGGACATATCGACTGGTTGCCTCCCACACAACCCCAACCACGGCCAGGGACAAAACCACAACTGAGGTGCGTGCCCTCGGTCGGAATCAAACCTGCGACTCATTGGTCCATGGGCCAATGCTCTAACCGCTGAGCCAAACCCGCCGGGGCTCATCTTAACCATTTTTAAGTGTACATTTTAGTGCTATTAAGTGCATTCACATTGTCCGACCATTACCACCATCCATCTCCAGAACTTTTAAAAAAAAATTTTTTTCTTTATTGATTTTAGAGAGAGAAGAAGGGAGAAAAAGATAAAAACATTGATGAGGGAGAACATCAATTGGCCGCCTCCTGCATGCCCCCCACTGGGGATCAGGTCCACAACCTGGGCATGTGCCCTGACTGGGAATTGAACCAGTGACCTCTTGGTGCATGGGTGGACGCTCAACCACTGAGCCATACCGGCCAGACTAGCTCCAGAACTTTTTCTTCTTCCCAAACTAAAACCCTATACCCATTAACATTAATTCCCTATTCCCCCTGCTCCCTAGCCCCTGGCAGCCACCATTCTTTCTGTCTCTGTGGAATGGACTCCTCTAGGAACCTTATGGAATGGAATCATGCAGTATTTGCTCTTTATGAGCGGCTTAGTTCACTTAGCATGTGTTGAAGTTTCATCCAGGTTGTAGCATGTATCAGGATGGCCTTCCTTTTTCAGGCTAACACTGCATTGTGTGTGCACTGATGGCACAAGTGCGTTTTGTTTACTCATCCATCCACCAGGGGACATTTGATATGTTAGTGAAGATTCTCTAGAGGAACAGATCCAAAAGGGTGTAGACAGATAAATTGATTGACAGATGAGGAATTGGCTCACGTGATTATGGAGGCTGACAAGTCCCAACATCTACAGTTCGCAATCTAGATACTCAGGAGAGCCGATGGTATAATTTTAGCCAGAGGCCAGCAGGCGCGAGACCCAGGAAGAGTGGATGTTTCCGTCCGCCTCTGAAGAGAGGAAAGAACTGATGTCCCAGCTCAAAGCCAGGCAGGAAGAGGAAGTTCCCTCTACTGGCGGATAAGCCTTTTTGTTCTATTCAGGCCTCAGGCCACCTACCTAAGGGAGGGCAATCTGCTTTACTCACTTGACCGATTCAGATGTTAATTCCTCTTTAAGCACCTTCACAGACACACTCAACAATATTTGGCCCAGTCAACATAATACTGACCTCATTGCTTCTTGTGACTAATGCTGCTGTAAACATGGGCTTTACAAACTGTCTGCTGGGAGCCTCTCCTTAGTCATCCCCTGCTATGTCTGTGCCTTTATTCCAATGTTCAGTTTGTTCAGTCTTTTTCCTCCCTTTCCTGCTTTTCTCTCTACTTTGCTTCTAGGAAGAATTGAAGGCAGTTGCCCTGGCCGGTTTGGCTCAGCAGTTAGTCGGCCTGCGGTCTGGAGAGACCTGGGTTCGGTTCCCGCTAAGGGCACGTACCTCAGTTGCAGTTTGTCCCCAGCCCTGGTTGGGTTGTGTGGGTGGCAGCCACTCAATGTGTCCCTTTCACGTCGATGTTTCTCTCTCTCTCTCTCTCCCTCCCACTCTATTTGAACAAAATATCGAAAAATGTCCTTGGGTGAGGATAAAAAAGAATTGAAGGCAGTTAACCCAATTCATTTGTTTTCACTTACCTGTTGCTTTATAAATGTTCCCAGGTGGATAGGAGGGGTATGGTTCAGGGACTCTCTCTCTTCTGGGATCCCAGTCCCTTCTCCCTAGGCCTGGGAAGTCTTTGTCCAGAGGTGCTTACAGTGGTGCCCCTCACCTTTCTCTGCCCAGGAGGTTCTGCTGATCTCCTGTCATCCAAGCTTCTTATGCTTTTAGTTGTGTTTTGGGCCTGTGTGCAGAGCCTCTCGGGTCCTATTATAGTTCTCCTAGTTTTACAGTCACAGCGGTCAGTTAGTTTCGGGTGCTGCAGGCCCAATTTGTGGAAGAATGTCTGGCATGTGACTGCTGGCTAGTTCATGGAGGATTTGGACCAGTGACCCTGGCGTCATGCTAGCCAGACTAGAATGCTTGCTGGCCATTTTCACCCTGTATCATTCCCACACTCTTTGTTCTTCTCCAAGTCATGGAGTCCTAGGTCAGGAGATCTGAGAAACCATTCTGCTCACAACACTCTTTGTGTAGATGAGAAACTGAAGCTCGGTAAGGGGAAGCCACAGTGCAAGGAGAGGACTCCAGCATTCTCCCCGTCACCACACAGCCTCTTTTGACCTTGAGGGAAGACTTGAGAATGTTTGTTGGCTCTGTTATTCTGACATCATGTTTCCTTTTATTTTTCTCCACATTTTTACCCGGAATGGTAAAGAAGCTGAATTGCATAGTTTTTCAAACTTCGCCTGTTACCCCGTTAGAAGTGCATTTTACGTTGCAACCCAACACACACATACACACACAATGAAATACTATCTACCTTTACTTCATGTTATGTACTCTATTTTTCATTCTACTTAAAACTTTTTATTGATTGATTTTAAGTAGAGCGAGGAAGGGGGGGAGAGAAACATCGATGTGAGAGAGATACATTAATTGGTTGCCTCCCGCACATGCCCCAACTGGGGCCAGGGGTCGAACCTGCAACCCAGGTACATGCCCTTGACTGGAAATTGAACCCGAGACTCTTTGGTGTACAGGCCAACACTCTAACCACTGAAGCCATATCGGCCAGGGCTCTATTTTATCATGTTTAAAAATAATTTAAAGTATCCTAGTCCCAGCCCACTAAATTGGATTTAGGACTTAACAGGTTGAGCTTCAGGGTTTGAAAGACACTGCTGTGTTGCATGCACCTCCTACCTCTTGCACAGTGCAGCATTCCACTATGTCTTTCCTCAAACTTGCCATGGCCTCTCTTTGTCCCAGAGCGTGTGGCAGTTCCCTCTTCCTGCAGCGTTCGCTCTACCTTTCCTTCCGCAGCCTCTGCCCACCTGACTCCTCTTCATCAGGGGTCAGTTTGACACTCTCTCCCCTCTGCCCCAGACTCCTGCTGCTCTTTGCCCTTGTGGGATCACTGTCTTCCCTGTTTGATGTTGAGCTCATCGAGCAAGGCAGAGACTCTGATGTCTCATTTTCTCTTGTGTTTCAGAATCGGAGAACTGAATTGAAAAAGGAACACCTTTGCCCTGACCGCTTTTGCTCAGTAGTTAGAGCGTTGGCCTGCGGTCCAGAGAGACCTGGGTTCTGTTCCCACTAAGGGCACGTACCTTGGTTGCATTTTGTCCTTGGCCCTGGTTGGGTCGTGCGGGTGGCAACCACTCGATGTATTCCTTTCATGTCGATGTTTCTCTCTCTCTCTCTCCCTTCCACTCTATCTGAACAAAAAATGGAAAAATGTCCTCGGGTGAGGATAAAAAAAAAATTAAAAGAAAAAGGAACACCTTTTCTCCCCTCTCCAGATGCCACTGGGTTGTTCTGTATAACTACTTCCTTCCGTCTCTCCTTCCCCTAGTTTCTGGCCCAGCTGAAGATCATGGACTACAGTCTGCTGGTGGGCATCCACGATGTGGACCGGGCAGAGCAGGAGGAGATGGAGGTGGAGGAGCGGGCAGAGGACGAGGAGTGTGAGAATGATGGGATGGGCGGCAACCTGCTTTGCTCCTATGGCACACCTCCGGACAGCCCTGGCAACCTCCTCAGCTTTCCTCGGTTCTTTGGGCCTGGGGAATTCGATCCCTCTGTTGATGTTTATGCCATGAAAAGCCATGAAAGTAAGTAGGAAGCTATGCCTGCCCTGTCCACCTCTGGCCCTCATCCTACCACCTCAGGTCCATTGTTTAGATGCCCCTGTGGGTTTCTGGACCTCCACCTCATTAATTGCCGACTTTGGTCTCTTTCTACCTCCAGGTTCCCATACTGAGTCATCTCTAGTAACTCTGTCTTCAGGCCCTGGGGTCCTTCTCCATTAGGCCTTTCTTCCCCTTTCTGCTTGTCATGGATGTTTGAGGCATGGCTCTCTGGTTCATGGGATGGACAAAACTTTATAAATATCCCATATCAACCCTACAGGGATCTGTGAAGATCAAATAAGAGCTGTGAGGCCCTGGCCGTGAGGCTCAGTTGGTGGAAGCATCCATCATCTCATACACCAGAAGGCGGCAGGTTCAATTCCCAGTCAGGGCACATGCCCAGGTCATGGGTGCAATCCCCAGTCAGGCAGCTGATCAATGTCTCTCTCTCACATTGATGTTTCTCTCCTTAATTCTCTCTGGAATAAATTTCTTTAAAAAGCTGTGAAAGCTTCTGAGAAGGATTCTATTTATCTGTTTCCGCTCCTCAGATCCAACATGATAGGGATCGATTTGGATCTCATATCTGAGGGGTTATGGACCCAGCTACTTTCTGCTCTTCTCCCTGCCACTTCTTCCTCCTTGCCTGCTTTCCCTCCAGGTGCCCCCAAAAAGGAGGTCTATTTCATGGCCATCATTGATATCCTCACACCATACGATGCTAAGAAGAAAGCTGCCCATGCTGCCAAAACAGTGAAACATGGGGTGAGTTCTCCATCTCCAGCCGGCCGGTGGGGGAGCCCTTCAACTCTGAGGCCTCAAGGAGACACTCTCCCTCCCCCTCTCCCAGGGCAGGGAACTGGAAGAGCAGCCTGCCTGGTTGCTTGGTGTTCACTCTCAGCCATCTATATTCCACTCCTGGGTAATATGCCCAACTTGTTTTTCCCTCTGTTCTCTGGCCCTGGAGACTCTGAGCCCATTGGTGCCTCTCCCCAGGGCTGCTGGGCTTGTGCTGCATCTTGTTGACAGCCAGTAATAGCTTTGTTTACATGTCCACACTGCTCCCTAGAGGCCCATTTCCCCATAGACTTGGAGAGCTACTGTTCTCCTAACGACTCTTATAGCGATCAGGAGTCTCTCTGCTCCCTCCCACCAGTACTTCTACTTTAGTGGGTGCATTCCTGGGGTTGTGCATCAGAGGTGGGGGCCAGGGCAATTCCAAGACATCGCCCCCTCTCCTTGAGGTGGCTCACCTAGTCTGAGGGGTTGTATTGAGCTGTAGTGCTGATCCAGAGGCTCCTGAAGACCCAGCCCTCCATTTGCAGCCTGCTGATGAGGGCCAAGGAGCTGGACCTGAATCAGCCTCTGTGTTACAGGCGGGGGCCGAGATCTCGACTGTGAACCCAGAGCAGTACTCCAAACGCTTCAACGAGTTCATGTCCAACATCCTGACGTAGTGACCTACCTTCAGCCACAGCCGGAGAATGAGATATGCGGTCGGGGATTGGAAGGGGGAGAGAGGGTGTATTTGGGCTAGATGGGAGGGGTGGGAGCAGAGTTGGGGATTGGGGAGGACTTAAGCAGTGAGACTGCAGCCTGTGACACAAAGATTCTCAGGAGGAGGGGATGTGCTGTGTGTGCATGTGATCACAGGATGCAGCCTCACCTCCTTCTCACCTTTGATTTTTACCCCCAGTTGACCCAGGGTAAAAAGGTTTCCTTTTTGTTAACTTGTAGCCTTTTAAAATACCTTGGGGCTAGAGGTGACTGGGTATATTTGGGTTTTTCTGAAATTTCATTGCTCCAGGTTTGCTATTTATAATGATGTATGTCATCACCTTAGCCACCTTCCTCATCCCTGCCCTGAGTTCCCTTCAATTACGGAGGCACCCCTAGGCCCAGCGAGGGTCCTCTCTGAGCCCAGTGCTCTGGCGCCAGAGGAGAGGAGGTCAGACACCCCATCCCTGCTGGATTAACTTTTTAATTTTATGAAGTATTGTGCACACCTTCCTTCACCTTTCCTCCTCGGAGCCAAGTGGTCCCTCCATCTAAATGCTGTCCTGAAGGAACACTCCAGATCAGTGGCAGTCATCTTGGATCAGAATCAAAGATCTCAGAGGGGAGCCAGTTCATCTTCATGGGATGGTGGGCGCGGGTTGCTGTGGGCTCTCGGACAGCTGGTTCTCAGAGAACCCGTGATTATCACTCAAGCCCCTGGGCTCTCCCGGCGCCTGGAGTTCAGATGTCTTCTCTCTAAAGCCTGCTTCCTGTTTGGTCAAGAGGAACTAGAAAGGACCCATCCTTGTGCTTAAATTTTTTTGCCCCATTGAAAAAACCCAGAAGCTGATGAGTATCAAATGAGGGCTTGTGCCCTCCATCCATTCACATCCTTCTGCCCTTTTCCCAGGCACCCTCACTGTAGGTGAGCTTTTCGCTGGGGGCAGGTCTCTAGGCTCCTGGGGTGCTCCTTGCAGAGATTCCTCTTTGAGCCCCAGGACTACATGTAGATAATCTGACTCCTTGTGCCTCCAGTTTGTCACCTGAACTGTTAATGGCCAGCAGGGAGTGATGCCTCCCACCCAGAATGTGGATCCAGCCTTGGAACTGTTTTTCCTTGATGCCCCCATCTAGACTTTTAACAGATTTGCCACCTACAGGTTCCCTCAGGAGTGGCATCCTGTGGCTTCCTTCAGGATCTCCACCCACCTTCTGAGCCTTGCTCTCCAGGCCTCAGAACTGAGCTGTGTGTCATTCTGTGATGACATCAGAGCAGTCTGGTCTGGCTGGGAGAGAAAACAGCCCTGTGCAGGGGGAGGTACAGTCCTGTATCTTAACCCCTCACCAGGAAATGGGGATTTAGGGTGAGATATGGTAAAACGTGTAGATAACCCCACAGATGCCAAGAAAGTTTGTAGAAGCATTTTGAGTGAATGGACGGGTTTCCTGCGGCTGCCTCCAAACCTGGCCGTGCTCAGCTTCTGGAGCAGGAACCAGCATGGTCTCTGCCCAACTCGCAGCATTTAGGTTGGGAAGGGATGGAGACAGCATTCTTGGACTCCTTTGGGGCTGCTGGGACCCTCTGGAAGAGGCAGATGGATCAAACAAGTGCCCCGGCCCCAAGAAGGGGCCCTAGGTAACTGAACATCAGCAGTAAGACCACGAGATGACTTGAAGGATTTGAAAGCAAGTGACTCGTGAAGGAAAAAAAAAACTGACTTAGGAAGGGATTATATAGGAATAATGTTTGGACTTGATTTCCCCACCTTCTAATCAAGAATACAAATTTGGATCTGCTCATAGTCAGGCCCAGCACCTCCAAAGGTTGGTAGCTGTCCTCAGGCAGCCTCCATAGCCTCGGACTCCCAGCGGCTCCCTGCGTTCGGTCTGCTGATCGTGTTGCCATAGTGTGTATGAAATGTGTAACAATCCTATCAGTTAAAGATGAGCTACCAGGTATCTGACTTGTTTAACATTGAGTTTTTGTGATCTTGTGGGTTTTTTTTTTGTATATTGTTTACATTTTGAGAGGTAGCATCCTGTTTCAAATGCTCTTTTGTATTTCTGACAGTGTTGTTGATTGGGTCAGAACATACGAACTGTGGTTTGGTGAATTTTAGATTTTTTTTAAAAAGGTCATTCTCTGTGCTATTTTCAAGACCTTGGGTTTGGCCCTCTAATTCTTTTGGCATTCAAATGTTTAAAAGCTATTTATCTCGGTTTATACAAGTTTTCTTTCTCTTCTTTCTTTTTATAAAGGTGAAGATATTATATTTGGTTTGCAGTCTGAATGTAGAGAAAGTGAACTGATCCCCAAGTTTTTGTCTGCCCCCACTTTTTTTCCAAATCCCACCATTCCCTTTCTGAGTAGAAGGTGTCTGAGGGGTAGTAACTACCCTCAACTTCACTCTTTGGAGCCATGAAACTCAACTGCCTTATGGCATCCTAGAATAATTTGGGGCCTCCCAGGAACAAAAGTATAAGAATAGGACATGGCCGACTGGATGAGGTCTGGAGAGGGGTAAGGGCAGGATTCATCTCCCAGTCCTTCCATCTACCACCTAACCAGTCACTGCTTCTCCCATCCTGCAGCTGTTCAGCTAGTCTACAGCTGAGAGACTGTAGTCTCCCAGGGTTCCCAGCCAAAGCAAGGGGTTGTCTGAAAACTCCACCGAGACTACTCAATGAAGGCCTCTGGCCCTAGTTCCTGTTCATGAACCACTGAGTCTTATCCTCCCAGTGGGAGCTCCTTCCCTGTGCCCCACAGCAGGAGTAGGGGGCAGGGTTGGGAAGCCAGCAGTTCCTGGAGCACAGACTGAAGTGCTCCATCTCTCCTTATCTTGCTCAGGAGCTACTGGTCTGTGGCAGGTGCCACAAGTCGCCCTGTGGCTATTCTCAGTGGCACCCCCTAAATTCCTACTGCAGGCAGCTCTTCCTACTTCACTTGTTTCTCTTGCCTGTGCTTTAGGCCTCAAGCAGGTCCCCGGGTGGTACTCAGGGCTTGGGACTAGCCTCCTGCCCTAGTGACTTTCCCTTCTTCACAGCCTCCCCAGGGCTGGGGAGGTGGACCAAAGACCCAGGACTTCTCAGTAGCCAATCCCACCCCCAATTTGTCTTTTTACCAGTTCAAGTTGGGAGAAAAAACTTCAGCACTCCTCACCATTTGAGCTACTCAAGTGTTAGGGGCTGGAAGTGTTTAAACAACCCTTAGAACTCTGGCCTTAGACCTGTGGCTCCGAGTCTAGAGACCTCATCTCTTTCTGGCAGAAATATGTGGTGGAGGGAGTCCACTCTGAGCCCAGGAATCAAAGGGAAAACACATTCAACTTTCTGCCCCTAAATGTACCAGCCACCTGCAGGGGGCAGTGACATGGCCCTAGCCTTCCTCTGAGATGTGCCACATATGAAGAGTGCCTCCAAAGGAAGAGACTCAGAGACAGCCTTTCCAGCGGGTTGTGCCGAGACCTTCGGAGGCTGGAGAGGAATCTTTCAGAGGAGCCCCTTCCTCTTGCTCAGGAGGAAGTGGGAACCAACAACGTTTGGGGGAAGGCCTGGTGCTGCATCAGGTCAGATCGTTGTAATAAAAAAAAAATGTGAATTAAGTATAGATCCAACCTTAGCGGGGAGCAGGATAAACTATCACCCCATCATTTGTGTGTGACTTCATTTCCTACTGCAATTTCCATTTTTCAAATAGGAATTTTCAGCCCCCTGTGCTTGTCTAATGTCTGCTCGGAACAGTTCAAGATCCTGTTACTGTTTTAAAATGCATGCGTGTTAACATGAATCTTCAACCCGAGGAAAATAAAACTCAAAAAGCTTTGTGTACACATCTGTTATATGTGAGTCATTTGGAAATGAGCTTTTCATTTGTTTTTGTTTTTTTTTTTTTTCAAAATTAAAAAGGTTTGGTCCCAGGATCAGAGGCTGCCTGAGCTAAATCAATGTATGGCTTGAATTTGGAGTCACCCACTTTCAGATGTGGTTAATAAGCACGGCTAAGAGTAAAGCACTGGAGCTAGTCTGTCAGCTGCTGTTACCATGCACAGTACTGGACAGACCACCTACACCTCACTTCTCCAGCTGCGTAGCACCCACACTGGCCAGGAGCCACACATACACCTGACACACCTGCTCTCCCTTGGCTGGCTTTGAACAAGTCACCTCTGTGTACCGCAGGTTCTCAGTCTAGACTCTTAGCTTAAAATCTAATGGTTCTCAAAGTGGTATCAGCAGCACCTGAGGATCAGAAATATAAATTGTCAGGTCTTTCTGCAGATCTGAACTGAATCAGAAACTTTTTTTTTTTAATCCTCACCTGAGGACATTTTTGCATTTATCTTCAGATAGAGCAGGAGGGAGAGAGGGAGGAAGAGAGAGAGAAACATCAACATGAGAGAGACACATCGAGTGGCCGCCACCCACACAACCCCAACCAGGTCTAAGGACAAACTGCAACAAGGTACATGCCCTTAGCGGGAACCGAACCCGGGCCTCTCCGATCCATGGGCCGACACTCTAACCGCTGAGCCAAACTGGCCGGGGCTGAATTGGAAACTGAAGCCTTCCAGGTGATCCTGATGGAGGCCAAAGTTTGGGAACTGCTATGCTCTACAAATGCCCCATTTGCTTATTTGAGCATCTACTACAGGTTGCAAAGTAGAATTATTTGGGGAACTTTTAGAAAAGACAGGTGCTCAGGCCCCTTTAAAGGGCCAATTAAGTAAGACTATTGAAGGATGGGATCAAAGTATCTGTTTAAGAAGCTCCCTGGGTGACTAATGTGCAAAGTTAAGAAACACTGGTCTGCCCTGGCCGGTTTGGTTCAGTGGTTAGAGCGTCAGCCTGCGGTCCAGAGAGACTCGGGTTTGGTTCCCGCTAAGGGCATTTACCTTGGTTGCAGTTTGTCCCTGGCCCTGGTTGGGTCGTGCGGGTGGCAACCACTTGACGTGTCCCTTTCACGTCCATGTTTCTCTCTCTCTCTCCCTCCCACTCTATCTGAACAACAACAACAAAAATGTCTGCAAAGTGAGGATAAAAAAAAGAGAAACACTGGTCTGGCTCTGGCTGGCCTGGTTCAGCGGTTAGAGTGTCGGCCCGCAGACCAGAGAGAGTCGGGTTCAGTTCCTGCTAAGGGCACGTACCTAGGTTGCAGTTTGTCCCTGGCCCCGGTTGGGGTCATGTGGGTGGCAACCACTCGATGTGTCTCTCTCACATTGATGTTTCTCTCTCTCTTCCTCCCTCTCTATCTGAAGAAAAATGCAAAAATGTCCTTGGATGAGGATAAACAAACAAAAAAGAAATACTGGTCTGCAGGATATTACCAGTGGGTACTCGGCCCAAATTTCTACCTGAAACAATGAAACAAGAGTTAAGGGTTTTATAGTTGAGTGAAAAGGATTCTAGGCTTTGAAGTCAAATGGAACATGGGTTTATATCTTTGTGCTACCACTTAAAGTGGTCCTGAGCAAGTTACTTAACTGCCCTTAAACAAGGGTAACGCCCACCACCTTAAGTCACTATGATGATTAAATTCCAGAATACATAAAGCACTTTGCACAGGGCCCAGCACATAACAGGCACTCAGATGATGGGTAGACATTACCCTATGGGTGGAGATACTGCAAGTCAAGACCACCCGAGGGCTGAGCTACATGCTAAGTAACTATGTGAAACTGCTCAGCTGGGGACAGACGTCTGTGGTTAAAAACTCAAAGAAGCAGGAGTGAAAGACAAATTATTTTATTTAAAAAAAAAAAAAAAAGTGGGATCTGGGAATGGAGTTAATCCATTCGGGCCTTCAGTGTCCTGGTGGTGATTTTGTCCTTCTCTCTGCAGAGGGAGAAAATCACAAAACATTCAGACTGCGGAACGAAGTGTCTTACTAGGCTGAACTGTTTTGCTCATGTACATTAATGTCAGCTCGTTTCCGCAGCCTGAGTGAGGAAGGGAGAGTGGAGACATGGGGAAACTGGTGAAGGCTTTTCTTAGGTGGAACCATCAAGAGTTGAGATGATCGAGGGCTCGACTCAGAAGCCTGGCAGAGAAGGGAAGGAGCTCTCCCAGGCCTGGATAACAAGTAAGTTAGGAAGGAGATGTGGGTTTTACCCCATGACCATAACTTCTGTCAGTCCCAATCTGTTTTTCATGGTCATTAACCATGCTGTCCCATAACAAAAGGGTGCAAATCCTTATTCTGGGATGTACCCAAGGAAAGCAGTTGGGAGGTCACCTATTTCATCCAGTCAGGTTCTTGGTGATAGCCCCAAACAATTAAAGAGGAAAAGAGATGGCAGTTGGCAGCCTGGGGGGGCTGGCCAATAGTTCCCAGAGCTCAGTACTTCAAGCGGTTGTGGGTTCCACACTCGTGGGAATTGGGAGAGAGGAGGAGCTGCCCAGTATTTCGATCTGTCTGCAGTCACTGCTGTGGCTCATACCACACAGGTCCCTGAGACTTTGGGGACACTTAAGAAAGAAATGTCTATTGTGAACAACAGGAGAGACTTGGTGTCATGGAGCCTCACTTGACAGAGGCCAGGGGAACTGGGAATGCTCCCAGCTGCCACCTTAGGGAGGCACGGATTTCTGCTATCCCGTGTCCGCCACAAACGCCTCAGCTCACCCCTGACCAGGGGCTGGGAAGATGGGCTGTTTGTGCAGGCTGGGAGAGGGGAAGTGTCTGCAAAGCTTCTAGACTCCCAGCTCATACTCACATGACATGGACGATGACTCCCATGCCTGACACTGCATCACGGTCCACAGCATTCAGCATGGCTTGTGAAATGGTTTCAAATAGGTGTTCTGGGTCCTGCCAACAGAGCAGAGGCCTTTCAATCCCCAGGACCTCAGACCTTAACTTGGTCTGGCTCCTTAACTCTTTTTTTTAGGCTCAAGGACCCCCGCTGTGGCCCTTCCTATACCTGAAGTGAAAAGCCCCCTCAGCCCCTTCCCAGGAGGCAGGTTATACAAGGGAAAGCTCAAGCCCTGAACTCCCTCCACTAATCGGCAGTGTGACCTTTGGCAAATCGTCCGTCCCTTCACTGAGCCTCAATTCCTCTCCTGTAAAATGGGGAGAAGACTCCCTATCTGGCTCCCATGTACTATCTGATGGACTCTCCCCTTGGGTGTCCCATAAGTACCTCAAAACAACCTGTCCAGCCATGACAACACATTCCCACCCAAACCTGTTCATTCTCTATCTTCGTTGGTTTACCTAGAAAACTCAAGAGTTCTCAGTATCTCCATCTTCCTCACTTCTGTTTTATTTTATTTTGTTAATCCTCCCCTGAGGATATTTTCTGACAGAATGGAAGGGAGGGAGGGAAAAATATTGATGTGAAAGAGACACATCAATTGGTTGCCTCCCGCATGACCCCGACCAGGGCTGGGGATCAAACCAGCAACCCATGTAGGTGCCCTTGACCAGGAATTGAACTCGAGACCCCTCGGTCCACAGGCTGACACTCCAACCTCTGAGTCAAACTGGTCAGGGCTCACTTCTGTTATAATCAACCAAGCCCTCTAGACTCCAGCTACCATGGCTTCCCACTGCGGACCTCAGCATCTCCTGTCAGTGACCACAATGGTTTGTCCCATCTACCTACAGGCCTCTGGTTCCCCCGGGTTCCGTACTGCCTTTGACACCACACCAAAAGAAAAAGTTCAAACTCCTGGGCATGGCATTCAAGGCCTTTCAAAGTCTCATCCCAACCTCACTTTCGGTCATCTCACCCCACATCCTGCCGCACTCCAGCAGCCATAGTGAGCTCTCTCTGGTCTCTGAACACTGGGCCCCACCTTTGCACAGGCTGTTCCTTCCACCAACCGGGCCCTTTCTTTCCTCCTCTTCCCAGCACACGCATTGTACCAGGTATTCGAGTGTCTGCCTTGCTTCATTTGACGCAGTAAGCCTTGCAGAAAGGCTACCTGGTTTCCCCAGAGTCCGACGGCTGGCACAGTGGACAGCCCTCCCTGCCAGGCTCTGTTCCAATCTTCACATGTGTTTTCCTCACACCTCCATTTAAAAGGTAGGATCCATTATTACCCCCATTTTATAGCTGAGGAAATGGAGGCAGAGAAGTAAACTGAATTACCCAAGAACATAACTAATTAAATGGTCGGTGGAGCTGGTTTTCCAACCCAGACAACCTGGCTCCAGAACCCATTTTTCTGAGCTGCCTCTAATCCTACACTTTACATCTTGTTAAATGTGTGTTAAATGAATGCATGAGAGAACCCTGAAAACCCAATGTGAGGAATTATTTGTTGTAGCAAACATCTGACCAGGGTCTCCTAACAGAAGGTGCTCTTCCCTGGAGCCAGCCAACCCACACCAAGACCCTGGCGGATGGATTTTCTGGCTCAGCAGCTGCGGCTTTCTCTCCTACCTGCACCCTCCTCCCCATTGCCTGCAAGGTAAACACGTTTTCCCCTGATGGCCAAGGACAAGGACAGGAGGATACCTCAAAGCTCAGCCCATTCCATGCTACCAACTCACCATGTTGGGCTCCCAGAGGGACTCGCACATTCCGTACATTTGTTCGGCACAGGTGCCACTGACCACAAAGTCATCAGTCACCATGGGGCAGCCAATGAGGTCTAGAGAGCAAATGAAGGGTTTAAAGGTCTTCGGGTCCAACCCAGCAATGACTGGCTCAGTGTAGTAGGGGCCAAACCTGTGGGGCCAGAAGCAGAGAAATGTGAACTCAGGAACACTTCCTTTCCTGTGCAGGCCTATTCAAACAAGGCCCTGGCCCGGACCCGGGCTGGAAAATGGAGAGCCTGCTTGGGAAGATCCCCTTTCCCTGTGGCCAGCTTTGA